GAAGTGGGCAAGGATGAGGGGTCCAGAGTTAGGCACTGGGCTCTGAGGTGATAAAGGTTAAAGGGAGGTACAGGGCGAGTGAGGTCAGGGCAGAAGCTGGCAGGCAAGGGGTCACAGAGTGGGAGCAGGCTTACAAGCCCTACACTATACTGGGTGGGGGTGAGCCTTTCACTGGGTTGCTGTGGTGTGCTCAGCAGTGCTCCTACCTTCTACCCAGTATATGCCCCAGAGCTGCCCCCACCCTAAAAAACCACAGTCAAAGTCTCAGGGGATTGCTAGGTGTTCCTCGAAGGGAAAGACAGAAAGGCAGCTGTACTGAGAACCATGGAGCTGGGGTCAGGATGAGGGAGCAAGAGTAAAAGAGTGATGGAGAGGGGTCACGGAGCAGGGGGGCAGGGGTCCAGGGTGAGGGGCAGGGTCTCCCTCACTTACAAAGTGGCTGGTGAATCCTCTCTTTTCTTCAATGTCTGCAATGTTGGCTGAAATGGCCACATCATCCGGAAGCTGCTCAAAGTCGCTGGGGGAGGCCAGCATGAAAGAGCCCGGTTATTACCCTGCCTGTTCCTGGTCACTGGGTGTGTGTTAAGGGCAAAGCCGACCCAACTAATGGGACCCTGCCCTTCTCATTCAGCACCCAGTCTGTGCCTGGCCCCCTGTCATTGCTGGGAACCCAGAGAGGATAGGACGTAGACCAGGTGAACCGTGCAGAGCTGGGGTAGGGCGTCACCAGGCAGCACTAGTCTAACCAACGGTTCTTTGGCCTCTACCCACCCAGGAGCCTGCCAGCTGTCAGCACCCCACTGTGCTGTGTCACAGGGTGAAAAGCATGCACTATAACCCAACTAATGGGACCCTGCCCTTCTCATTCAGCACCTAGTCTGTACCTGGCCCCCTGTCATTGCTGGGAACCCAGAGAGGATAGGACGTAGACCAGATGAACCGTGCAGAGCTGGGGTAGGGCGTCACCAGGCAGCACTAGTCTAACCAACGGTTCTTTGGCCTCTACCCACCCAGGAGCCTGCCAGCTGTCAGCACCCCACTGTGCTGTGTCACAGGGTGAAAAGCATGCACTATAATGCCTGCAGTGGCTGTTTGAGTGTCCCCCAAGGCTTGGCCTAAAGGGTATTGCCATTGGGAGGTGCTGTGGTCCTCTGGGGAAGGGGGCTCATGGGAGGTCCTTGGGTCCCTGGGGCCTGCCTTGAAGGGGACCATGGGACCCTGCTCCTCTGCTCACATCTGGCTCAGGATGTGAGTGGTTTACACTTCCACATGTTGCCACTGTGATATGTCACCATTGCCAGAGATCCAAGGCAAAGGGACCTGTGATTGGAATCTCCAGAAGCATGGGACAAAATAAGCCTTTCACCTCATTCATTAATTACCTGTAGTATTTTGTTATAGTAACATGAAGATGTGAAGCTGACTGAGACCCTACCTCCCCCACAAGAGCATTGCTGACTGTCTAGGCTGGAGAAAGCCTTAGAATAGTGACTTTGGAGCCAGCTCTAGGTAGTCAACTGGCTGACTGAGACCCTACCTCCCCCACAAGAGCATTGCTGACTGTCTGGGTTGGAGAAAGCCTTAGAATAGTGACTTTGGAGCCAGCTCTAGGTAGTCAACTGGAATTCACTGGGTTGTAAACTGGTAGTGGGAACCTTGGGAACAGTACATTCTAAGGTCTGAGGCCTGTGGAAGCGCCTGGATCTGATTAAGTTGGTCTGAGGAGGGTCTCAGTCTCAGATACCAAGTGATAACAGCAGGGAACTGGGCAGGCTTTGGTGATCCTGGGTTGAGGATGTCAGCACAGGCAGCCAGTCATGTGGTTAGAAAAGGAAGGACACGAGCTTATACCAGACAGCTCATGAGAGGCCCTGGGAGTGGCCCAGTAAGGAATGACATGGACCTGAGCCAGAGAGCAGAGACAGGACACAGAAATGACACCACCCCTGGAGCCGCTATTAACATTGTGTCCCTGCTCCTCCTGGATAACCAAGTACCAACTCTGTTCAGCTTTGAATATGTCACCTTCCCCCAAGGCAGTAGATCATGATTGGTCTGATCCAAACACAGCCATCCTGTTCCTATTTTCCAGCTTCCCTTGCAGCTCCAAGCAACCATGTGACTAGTTCTAGTCAATGAGAACTGGGGTTGGGGACAGGGTGGGGTGGACAAGTCCTCATCCTTTGAAAGCAACCTTGAAAGCAAGTACAACATCTGGATCTACAGCAACCACAATACATTCATGAGGAAAAAACATGATGCAGACCAAAGGAATCTCTGAGGTGCTAGTGCTGAGGTCCTGAGCTGTGCAACAAGATTCTAGCCTTCTTCTGGATTTTACACTAGGGTGTTGGGGTCCTCTGTTATGCAAGTAGAAGTCTCTTCACATCCGGATAGCTCACGAGCTCGGAAACTATGTGCTTCAGATTCCTTTCATAGCAGAGTGCCTTCCTGGCATCCTCCCTGACTCTTCTTTTAAAGTGCTCGCCACAAATACATGCCCTCTGGCACAGGAGATAGCAGGTTTTAATCAGGCGTTGTCTGATAGCCTGATAAAAGCCCACCGCCCTATGTAAATAAGGCATCCTAAAAGTACCTATCAGCTAAGACTTCTTCTGCTGTCTCTACACTATAAATAGTCCTAGTTTTACCCCAATAAACTTGGAGCTGGAGCTGGAGTTGGAGCTGGAGATGGAGTTGGAGCTGGAGCTGAATCACTGAGATCTGAGCTGAGTCACTTGTCTTGAGCTGTAACACTAAATCCTGTGATCCAGTCTCCCCGGGGAATGCTATTCCTCCGTTATCGGCCCACGGATACCCCAGCTTTCGCCGCCTCCATACCTCTTCCCTGTGGAGTTCACTGGCCAGGAACTCCGCAATCCTGAGGAAGGGTACAAGGGTGTAATAGAGGCGGGATTCTGACTAGATAATAATCTAGTAGCAGAGGAAGCTCTCCGCTCCAGAGAAGTGTGTAGCTATCAGCTACAGCCAGCATCAGAGAAGTCTGCGTACCTGCCGTCTCCAGAGAGGCGCGGCCGGCCAGGCCCGCCAGCGGCTAGCCAGCGGGACCAAAACCATGGTGGGAGAGTGCTTGCACACCTGACCCTGGGCCACATCCAGAGTGAGTGCGCCCAGGAGCCCAGACGCGCTCCCCACATCACTTGCGGCCAGACTCACGCTGGGACTAGCCAGGTGTGGCGGAGACCCCAGGGTGCCCGCACACACCACGCCGGGGGTCCAGCGACCCGCCCCATACTAGGGGAAAAAAAGAAATTATGGGTCTTCATTTAAGCTGAGACTAGTCCCTCTTTTTCTTTGAAGCCTAATGCATTTCCAAGGGATACACATTCTGAGTTGTTCCTAAGCTCTGACCAGCAGAGCTGGAATGAAAGAAAACAGTCATGAGTACTGCCCCCTTCTGATCAGCATGGAAAAGGCAGGCCTTAGGGCCTCAGTTCAGTCTCTGCTAATGTGAGAGGCCTCTGGGCATCAGATGCCCAGCAGGAGGCTGGTGTGCAGGTGTAGAGATTGGTTTATGCAACTGAGAAGCACCTGCCCACTTCCTTGTGGCTTGTGGCTTGTGGTTAAAACTTTAAGACCTTCCAGAAGAGAGCTGCCAGTGAGCAGAAAGACGGGAGGAGAAAAACAGCCAAGTACAGAGAAGGCCCTGGCAAGGCCGCCAGTCTGTCCACGTGTACATAGATGAGGAAACAGGAAGCAGGTACAGGAGGGTATCGTGAACACATCTGTCATCTCATGGATTAGGAGGCTGAGGGAGGAGGATCAGGATGGGATGGAGCATTCTGAACTAGCCTAGGGCCTCAGAGTGAGACCCTGTTTCAAAGGAGGAGGAAGAAGAGAATGCAGGGGTGGACTCAAAGATTGAGGCAGAGATAGAAGAGGAATGAGAGATGAAGAATAAAAAGGAGAAGGAGGAGGAGCAGGAGGAGGAGGAGAAGGAGAAGGAGGAGGAGAAGGAGGAGGAGGAAGAGAAGGAAGAAGAGGAAGAGATGAAGATGACTTGGGGGTGAGAGGGAAATTTCCTGGGAACGATTCTAGTTTTGACCTCTCTTTTCCTATAATCTGTGCTGTTTTAGCACTCATCCATGGATTCCTAGGACTAAGGTAGACTAATTTGAATTTCAAGGCCTGGTTTGGGTCCTACTTCACTTTTCCCTTCCAGGTTTGGGCCCAAGGATGTTGGGGGTTGAGACTCAAGGTTTTGTGCAGGAGGAAGAGGAGAAGGAGGAGGAGGAGGAAGAGGAGGAGGAGGAGGAGGAGGAATTATATTCTCTCAGCAGTGGCTAAGAGATAGGTGGGACTGCATGTCCGAGGCCTCACAGCAGATGGAGGCCCCAGGAACTTGCACATCCTCATCCCAGTTCATGCTGGTCCCCTGGGACCTGGTCTGCCCCGGTCTGCATATATCAGAAGCCAAGAGTCACCCACTGGGAAGTGGCAGCAGGCTGATAGGGAAGTCCCCTGGTCTGGGGACATCTCTGCTGGAGACCTTCCTATTCACTTTCCCCCAGGGACAGCACATTCGTGCATGATTTCATGTGTAGTAAGATGGGGTGGAGCAGGAAGGAACTAGATGATTGGGACACTGACAGTTGGGACTAACTGAATGCACTGGGAACCAAATGCTCCTCTGAGATAGAGCTGGAGGAAATTGAGGGACAGAGCTAAGATTCAAGGCAGAGCAGCCTCCTGAGTGACGTTAGATCAACCTCAGCCCTTTTCAGCCTGTCCTCAGTCTGCAACAGTGACTGTGTTAACAAACCTCTTGTAGCCAGGGCTTAGCACATGAGAACGCAGCCTCTGCCTTCTAGGCCCCCTTAGCCCTGAGGAGTCGGGGAGCTGAACACACAAGTAATCCCTGGGCTTAACCACTGCCAAGACCTTTCCACAAGAGAGGCAAGATGTTCTGTGCTATGACAGAGCCGGCCTTCATCAACATCCCTCAAGGAATGAATAGGGGCAGCAGAGGACAGTTGGGAGCTGGCCGGGATAGGAAAGAGGGTTAGGGATGTCAGAGGGAACTGGGACTGCCTCCAGCCTAGGGTGGGCTGAGGAAAGCACAGAGAAGCTGGCCACTGTGGAGGCAGAGTGGGCCTTTTAGGAAGAGGAGGCAGTGGTAAGTACAAAGACCCTGGGGCCGTGCGAGAGGAACAAGTTCAAGGAGCCATGGAGAGGAGGCATGGCGTGAGAACAGGACAGGAGGCAGAACATGATGAGACAGGAAGATCCCATAAGAAGCACCTTTGTGAGTTGTAAGGGACCTCAACTTTCTGCTAGGGTGGAGGGGCCCAGAAATGAGTTAGGCAGGGCCAGTGTCGGCCCGAGACCAGCACTGGAAAACAAAGCCCATAGTCCTCCTCCTTAGTCTCTTCAGGCACACTGGGACCCTCGCAGGGGAGCTGCTCCCTCAGGTTCCACCCAGGTTCTGCTGGGCCAACGCTGGGCTCATTACAGGAGCCTGGAAGGGGGGCCAAGAGCTGGAAGTGCCCCCTCCCCAGAGAACTGCAGGTTCATGTTCTTTCGTGCCTTGACCACAGTAGGTGTTTGGTATGTGGCTGTGGAAACCAAACCCAGTAACCTCTGTGGTGGCCATCTGGCCTCAAGTGCTGTTGAGCACACTGTCCCCTCCTGCATCCTTGCATGAGGCTGCCTCTCAGAGGGGGCACTGGAGGTACCAGTGGTCCAGTGGCCCTTGGATCTGGCCCATGACCTCATGAGGGGCAAAGGAGAGTGGTCACTGCTCAGAGGATGGAGGACCACTGTGAGAGGCAGAGTAGGCAGAGGAACCCCACAGCCCTTCTGGCCAGCATGGACATCCTCTGAACTCGCACTCTGAGAAACAGGAAGGGACCCAAGGCTCAAGTAGTTTCAGTCTCTAGAAGGTCCAAGTTTGCATGTCTGCCAGTCTCCCAGGAGAACTTGGGGGTCAGAGGGGCTGGAATCATGCTATGTGATCCACCAACCGGAAACCTCCTCTGTGGCAATGGAAAGCATTTCTGAACCCCCCACCTCAAGCACTTACTCCACCTGCTCCTCCCACACAGACAAGCCTCCTTCTGACCTCCGACCTGTGGAAGTTCCACCAGTTTCCCCTGCAGCCCTCACCAGTCCTTCGCTCCCCACCTGGACCCCAACCTCCAATCAATCCTCCAGCATTCTACACGGAAGCTCTTCCCTGCTGTTCAGGCCAGGGGACAGGCACCAAGTGCAGGGCCCCTGAGGCTGGGGCAGACCTGGCTCCAGAAGGAACTCAGGGCTGGCTGAGGAAGGCAGCTGGACCCCAGGAGGCCGTGCTCCAGCCTTGTGCCCACTGTGTGACCGCAAACCCTGGCCTCACTGTTCTGTCTTGTTCCTATCTGTACAATGTTGGGTCCGGGTGAGATGGATCTAGGTGGTTTTCGATAGCTCAACAATCCATTCATTGATTCCTTCAGCAGCATTTGTGGAGTACTTAGTGTGTACTAACGATGCTCTGACTCCTAGGACTATAACAGAGACCACAAAAGACCAAAACCACTCTCGTGGAGAGGGCAGAGCAGCAGGAAAAACATAAACTAAAAGAAACAACAGTGCCATGCCAGGTAAAGGAGGCAGGGCACGGGGTCAGAGGATAAAGAGAGGGCTATCAGGGAAGGCTCCTAGGAGGAAGCAGCATCTGAAACTGGTCCTGAGTAAAGACAGGAAAAGCAGAGGCTGATCCTGCGCCACCCCTGGCCACGACATGGAACTAGGAACCCCAGCCTAGAACTCAGGACACCTGTGTTCCCAGACACCACTGCCCACTCAGCCTGAGACCCTAGGCCACACCCAAGCCACTCCCCACTTGATGTGCTCACTGGTTCCCCGAGGCTGGTGAGCTACAAGATCAAGTTTCTCCAAAACAGTTCCAGGAGTATTTGAGTCCGACTCAGTGTTGAGACATTGACAGCAGCCTCCAGAAGGGCTGGCCTCTCTTTCCCAATGCCCGCCTAGGACAGTGAGGAGACCTCCAAGGGAACACTGCCACAGACTCACCTCTCTGACCGCAGCTGCCGGGCCAGGGCCATGGTGCTGGGTGGTCAGGGGAGCAGGTGACTGAGGGCCTTGCCCAGCCAGGCCCAGGCTGGGTCCTTCTCACTTCCTCCTGCAAGCATCTGGGGACCCTGAGGCTCTGGACTTCCCTAGGAGCAGCCTCTAGGGAGGTCCCACCCCCCCCAGAAGCTCCTCCTCCAGGCTCTGAGCGGCCCTGGCCAGGCACTTCTTCCACCTCCCAGCTGCGCAGTAATGGGGAAGTGCCACCTTTGGGTGCTGGGCTTGTGTGAGGTCAGACTTTGGGGACTTCCTCAATGCCTCTCTGGTGCCAAACCTTGACTGGTCATCAGAAAGTCCCACAGTCTCAGCACTGGCTTGGCCATCAAGGGACCTGTGGCCCTGGGGACTCACTGCTCATGCTCAGTCCTGATCCCCTGCCCAGGCTTCAAGGCCTGTCATTCATAAGGCCCAGTGTAGATACTGCTTCCTCCAGGAAGCCTCCCTCTATTATACTAGGATGTGGAGGTTGGCTTATGCCCACTTTGCCTTCACCCAGGTACTCTGGGCTTTCCTTTCCTTCCAGAGAGTTCCACACTCAGCGAGTCCTTTCCTGGAGCTGTCAATCACAATCTGCCTTTCCTTACAAACTGTTCATACTTTTATACTCTGCTCCCAAGAGACTCCCACTTCTCCCCTGCAGCCCAAGGTCCTGCAGGCTACTCCAACCTCCTCTCCCAAGCTCTCTCCTCTGTCCTCCTCCTTCCCATTTCCAGAAGGCTCCAAGATGCCTGCCGATGGACTTTCTGTATGCTGTTCTCTCTGCTGGGCCACTCTCTTTTTCCCTTCCTGTAAGTCTCACCTTGGAAACCACCCCTTGAGTGAGGCCTTCCCTGAACTGCCCCTCACTTGCTGTCGGGGCCTGGGAGTCCCTGTACATTTCCTGTAGCTAGTTCCTAGCTTCTGGAGTTCTGTATGTCTTGCACATTAGGCTTCTGCCTCCAGGCTAGCACCACCCTACCTATGTCAGCAGATGACACACAGGGCCAGCAGGGAGCTCTCCCAGAAGAAGCCTCCATTGAGGGTAGAGATTACCTGGCCCTCAGGAACATCAAGGACATGTGCTGTTAAAGCCAAGATTCCAGTTCCTGGCCCAAAAGCTGGATAAGCGGGCACTGAATCACCCCGCAGAAGCAGTTTGGAGTCAGCATAACACAAAACTGTGAAGCAGGCACCTTGGGCTTCAGAAGAATTCACACCTGAGGAACTAGACACCACACTCTGGCTCAGGTCTGGTGTCTTGGGCATCCTAATCTTGGAGGAGAGGGTCAGCCCAGCCAAGCAAGATGGGGACAGGTGCAGGAGAGGCGGGTGTCTGTGAACACAGGTGCAAGCTTGGACTGTGGGCCAAGGAGAGGAGTGTCTGGTTTAAGAGGTGGTCAGGAAACAGGAAGTGACGAAACCCCTTCAGCAAGACCGTTGCACAGCACTTTTGTGTGACTATGTAACTGCACTCATGCATGTACTGGCTCAAAAACATGTTTGTTTGGGGCCAGAAATGTAGCTCAGTTGGTAGAGTGCTTGCCTAGCATCCACAGAGCCCTGGGTCCAATCCCCAGCACCTCATAAGCCAGGCATGGTCACACCTGTGATCCCAGAATCCTGGAGGTAGAGGAGGACAGAAGTTCAAGGTCATCCTTAACTACACATCAAGTTCAAGTTCAGTTTGTTCAGAGACACATGAAATTGCGTGTGGGCAGGTATGAGTGCTTTTGTAAGGGCTATAAAAGATCATGTGATACAGAGAGCAGCGACACGGTAAGCAGTAGTCTCAGTTACGACCAATGATGGCGCAGCACGCTGGCGGCTTCCCTGCCACCCCCCCCCGCCCCCTACCCCCTGCCCCAAGCCAATATGCACTCTATAGCCCAGGCTGGCCTGGAACTCATTATGTAGTCCAGGCTGGCCTTCAGTTTGAAGCAATCCTACCTCAGTCACCTGAATATTAGGATTACATACTAGATAGGATATTTTATTTTACTTTGTCTTTTGAGTTTTGAGACAAGGTCTTGCTATCTAGCCCAAGCTGGCCCCAAACTTGTCATTCTCCTATCTCAGCCTCTCCTGTGCTGGGATTGTGGCTGTGTGCTACCACATCCAGCTAATAAACAAAAATTTTAGTCTTTGTTTCACATACATGCATGTGTACACACATGTGTGTGTGTGTGTCTGCACTCACATACTTGCATGCTCCTGCATGTGCATGTGTGTTTTGAGTAGGATGAGGCCTCAAGGCCATCTGCCCAGGTTCCCCCAGCTCTCATTTTCCCAGCTGCCTCCCCCAAGAATCCATGTTCCTGCTCAAAGGAGCCACCTTTGCAGCAGGGGCCACCAGTATCCGAGGAGGGGCCTGGAGCCTCTGCTGGTCCCCTCCACTGCAGTCTTCTGTCCTGCTTGGGGTTCTGCTGAATACATATATTTCTCTGGCTCTTTGCACAGAGAACACGGCTGTTAATTTTATGCCAGAGCTCTGAGACTGTGTAATTGGAAGCCAGACACCCTGTCAGCAGTGGGCTCCAGTTCTGTGCTGCAATGGTTCCTGGGCTCCTTCCTGTCCCTGGGCTGGCTCTCCGGCCACCACCCATCCCTCGCAGATAAGAACCATCCAGACACTTTGCACATTCCTTAACCAATAAGCCTAGTAGCTCTGCACAGATACAAAGAAACACTTAATGTGATCTCACTCAGATCCAGGCCTGACTTGTAATATCCTCTACCCTCAGCAGTCTAATAGTTAAACAAGCCAAAGTACCAAAGGATCGCAAGCTGGAAGCCACCCTGGGCTACGTGGAGATTTTGAGGCCAGCCTGGGCTTCCTAGGAGACCTTGTTCCAAACAAACAAACAAAAAAATGCATTGAGTCCAGAGCTCAAAGGCCACATGAAGACTGGAATGTTTTATTCATGGAAGAAAACCCCCAGACCCTCACTTCCTGACAGATTTCTTCTAGATACATCCCAAACTATCAAGTTAGTAACCAGTTTAAAGATTATATACACAAGCAGGTCAGGAGGAGGAAGAAACTGCCAGGGGACGTCAGAGCTATACAAAGGTTAAATGACGCCCTAACAATGACCAAGATGCTGGAATGCATTAAAAAAACACACACTCACAGACTCAAAAACAGACGCCAAGGGCCATTCAGAGGGGCATCTCAGCATGACCTAAGTTTGCTAATACCCATTCAGATCCAGCTCCCCAGGGGGAGACTGAGACTGCTCAGAGTACAGCTGGGGTCCGCAGAGCCTGGATGGGGGTGATATACAGTTCAGAAAATGCCCAGCCCTGTTCAAATCCTCATTGTGTGGGTACAGGGCACACAAAGTATGGGCCATTGGTCATAGCTTGGAGTTCCCGTGGCAGAACCTGGGAAGACCTCTGGACCCTGGAGCCTCTTGTGGGCCTGGCAGGGGCTGCTGTGTGCGTCAGCTGTCAGGCACTGTCTTGGGAACAGAAGGAAAATCCCTGATTAGATTGAGCAAGATTCCTGGGGATCCCTCACACACCAAGTTCCCCCATCCTGACCCACATGTGTCTCCCTTCATAATTTATGAGGGAAGCTTTGCTGGACTGCCTCCCTGAGCCATAAATAGCCAGCCTGGCAGGTCCCAGGCAGCACTGAACCCTGAGAGGGCGTCGGGAGGCCAGGGAGAGAGTGCCACTCTCTCAGGAAGCAGAGCAGGTCTGACCTCACACACACTGTTGCATCCACTAACTCTGCCGTCTTCCTGATCGAGAGTTTCTGCATCCATTTCTGTAAGCTGAGATAATACTTGAATTTTAGAAGTATGATGAGCAAGATGAGTCAGCGGGTAAAAGTGCTTTCCACCAAGCCTGATGACCAGAGTTTGATGCCCGGGTCCCACCTGGTGGAAGGAGAGAACTGACCCCAATAAGTTGTCCTCTGACCTCCACATGCATGTTCTCTCTCTTTCTCTCTCTCTAAATAAAAATTTTAAAAGTATATCAGTTATATAGTCCCAAAGTAATAAATACCTACACTGTGTGAGGTTCTAAATGTGTCTTGCCACACCTATCTACGTGAAGAGAAGTTAAACAAAGAGACGAATACCAAGTGCTGAGTCCAACGTCAAATGCATAGTATTTGTGACTGAATTGTATTATTAATGTCATCAGTAATGCTTTTCTTGGACCTGATCCTTCCCTTCTCTGCCTTCCATGCACATCTATTGCCCATGTCTGCTTTTCTCCTTTTTGTTATACAACTTACCACTTTAATTTTTTTTCTCCATATCCATTGTCACCCACTCTCACCTGGGGGACCAGCTTGGCACTAATCAAAGTGTTATGAGAACAGACCACCAGGGAGCGCTGTGACTCAGCAGTCAAGCTTCCACCCTGCCTCCTAGAGAATGTGGCAAGTGTGACCAGTTCACTTGGAAAATCCAATCAGGTGAGCTGGCCAGCCGCAGCACTGCCTGCTGGATCCAGGTAGACCCATCAGTGAGGGTTCGAGCAGGACTCAGGCGTAGATGTTCTTGGACCGAGGATCCTGATGTTCCTCTCCACTGACCAGAAATACGAAGGCAGCTGGGTGCACTAGAAACCTTTCTGTAGCCACACAGCCTGTGGGCCATGGGGAGGTGCCTGTGCCGGGGCCCTTAGAACAGAGCCACAGGCCAGTGTGGAATGGGGTGTCTCTGATGGCTGTTACCTAATCCTCACACTGATGCCCATAAAATGGATGATCTTCTCAGCCCTGTTCTGGAGAAACTGAGGTTCTACAGGATTAGGAGACTAAAGGGACTTAGTAGCTGAGTGAGATGAGCTCACAGTTACTAACTGTGCTGTCTGCCCTCACTCATTCATTCATTCATTCATTCATTTGCTCTACTTCATTCAGTTCATCTCCATTCTGAAGCAGATAAGTGTAAGTAGACGTAAAGCCAGCACACGGCTGCCCTTGAGCAGCTCACGTTGCTATTGAGGTACACAAACAAACCCTCATACAGCACACATGGAAATGTGCATGCATGCATTCCCATGCACACACATGCATGTACACACATATCATGTACAGATATGCAATGGAGGTATGAATACACACTTGCAT